TTGTAGACACTTACCAGAACGAAGCTCCTGCTACTGCATAGCTTTACAAGGAATCAGTGGTCTCCACAGGAGGCAGTGGCAGTGATACATGGGAACCAGACCCTCCAAGCCGAACTGCGCCTTTTATTAGTGTCTGTAGCAGCACTGTTACTTCACCTTCAGATCACACATCGTCCCTGCTCGAAAGTTCTTAGAGCACTGCTCAAGTTTCCTCGAAGGCAGGGGGAGGGAGGAAGGAAGAATGTGAGGTTTGGGTCATAGCTGTGGCTACGATAGGATCAGACAAGTATAGGGCTTCATCAACAAACTCACCGCCATGTTCGTACTCCTCTAGCCATTCGGCAATTTTCTCCAGTCGTCGAAGTGTACGTGAGTGGAAATGTCGATTAACAACACAGGAAATCTGAAATGCTTTCTTTTCCAGCGTCAGAGGATTTTAGGCTGAATTTCGGATCAATTAAGCCGCTATATGATTTAAGTGACGGTGTAATAAGTAACATTGGCCAAAGGGGTACGATAAAACCACGAGCTGTCCACTTGTTGTCAGAATAGCGGAGTATTGATAGTGGTTTCGTGCGTGGGCTATCAAAAACTACGGTCTTGTTCGCTGCGGATGCCAGAGCCTATCAGGGAGGCTGGGTTTGAGGCGGCGCCATTCATTTTCCACCAATTGTTGACGCTTTCCCACTTCAACAATTGGTGGAGAGCGAACTACAGCCGGCCTAGACCCAAGCGCCCTAAAACGCCCTAGCATCCGCAGCGAATAAGAATGTACTTGATTTGAACATGAAACCGTGCTCAACTCTTGCAGTTTATTCGTGAAGGCTCACTACGCATTCACTTGTCACTATGATTCTGGACAAATGACGAATACGTGGCGTATCTCAAAGAAGGGTTGATATCGGGCGCTTTAAACTGCATTTTCTTGAATTGTAGCAACTGTGAGAACTCCACACTTGGGCTGTCCCGTAGCTTTCCGCTTTGGTAACCCGAAAGAAATAAGAAATTGAATATGACTTACCTTGTAACTCCTCACTAAGGTGTCGATCAGTTTCTGGACAAGTGCGTCACGATTGGTGTCGTCGAGTTCAATGAGGCTCTCCAAAGCTGTGGCACGCATCTCGAGAATCTCCAGCACTTCTGCATTAGGACGACCAGGCTCCACACCTTCTGAAAAATATTGGTGGTTGGTAATTTTTTTCCACATGAGTGAGAGCTACAGTAGGCAGGGATTGGATATTGGGTGATAGCAGCATCACAGCGGGCATTCTTGGTGCGCGGTTGCACCACCACGTGACCGCACACGCAGGATGGGCCTCTCTTGTTTTGGACCGAGCTCGCGAGCGAGGTCTGGCGAGCAGCGCCACAGACGTTTATGCCTTTGCATCTCATGATTATAATTAGGGGGGTGGTTTCATTTGACCGTCTTGCGCGGAGCATCCACACGTTTGCGAAGCTGGAACGTGGCCTGCGACACGTCTATGAGGACGATGTCCGCACCCGCGTCGAGTGATAATCAACATGGGCGATAGGTGAGTAGCGGGCGGGCGGGGAGCGTGAGAGGACAGGCGGGGATGGGTTGGCAGCCGGTTTTGCCTCTTTTAGTACTTCCTTTCTTGGTCTGCGCTTAGTTGCTGTGTAATGGCGTTTGGCGCAATCTCTTACGCTGACGTCGCACTGAGAGCGATTAGTTGCCTCTTTGTTTTCGTTGCTTTTGGTGGATGATATATTTAAAGTAAAGGAAACGGTTGAATGTGTTATAAAATCAGGCCGGATGGTCCCGGTGATTTTCCAAAATCAGTTACGGCTCATACAGAGGGAAGCTGCGCTGCTCAAAGGGCTGCTGTGGGGTCGGCTTGGGGAGTTTGCGGTGTGTCATTTGACCTGTTGACGGGGCGTCAGTGGTTGAGTTGCGTGTAAATGGTGCGTCCTTTTTTGTAATACAAGGTGAAAGGTCTTTGGGTTTCAGGGTGAGTCTTCGCGAAGAGAACTGGAAGAGGAAAAAATTGTGTGTCGTGGATGGTCCTCATAATGTCACCGCCCCCCACACACCCCTGCACAAGAAAAAGGGGTGGATGAAATGAAGCACTGAATGTCTGATCGAGCCTGGACCTTTGCCGAGCTTCCCCGCGAGACTGACATCTCCGCTATAACTGCTGCCGCGGGTATGCTGATCAATCCTGAGGATGGTCATAGGGTGGTAATGCATGGGTACCTAATTTTCTTGTAGAAGCACGAACGCAGTACCTATTCTGTGCCTCTAGCAGTAATGTTCTCAGCATGAGATGTCATTCACGACTGTGAAAACGCACTCCGGCCCTAGATGAAATATGGGTGGTCTTGGACGCCGAAACATCACAATTCACTTTTGTATGAATGCAGATCAGAAGCCGCCCGAGTTCTACCATGAGGGTTGCGTGGGCACCAAGTGGGATGATGCCTCGGTAGCGAAGGATTCCTACACTGAGGCTTTTAGGCGGCTCTATACAGAAAATAAAATCGTAGCTGTCGGTGTATATTGCCTGATCCTCGGCAATCAGATCGACAAATGGATGATACCACACAACTACACAAGAAGGCCACCGTTGCTCGTCATAGTGCCAGACCCCGAGTAAGACTGTACTGTAAGGGCAGTGTTGGGACAAAAACAATACTGAGACCTGGGTTCAATCGCCCCATTCGCCCGACATAAAGCCGAGCGATTCCAATTGTTCTCGTCAGTCGAGAGTACTCTCCGACGGCAAACGCTACAATGTTTTGTCATTCGCCGAAATTGGCATCAACAGCAATTTACTCGCACTTGTTGAAAAATCGAAGGTACCAGAGGTCCAAAGGCTTTCGGGGCACTGGGAGCGGGTCATTGGTGAAGGAGGGATTTACTAACTTGAAGCCAAAATATTACTTTTTATCTATTCTCCTCTTTGTTTTATTCGAAAAAACCGACGGCACTTTTGAATGGGATGACCTAATAGTATTTCGAGAAGACCAGCTAAGAGAACTAGCTAGTTTGTACTCGTCGCCGCAACACGGACCTAACAAGCTACACTTGCTTGAAGAATCCTGACGGCTCAAGAATCAGGAATTGATGTGTAACCTGGGCAGAGAACTAGTTTTATGGTATTCAAATTTTGCGAGCATTGGAAAGGATGCCTTCCATGAGGAGTTTCCTTAAAATTAGAGAACTGACCGAGGAATTTGTTCCACCAAGTTGCCAACTTCAAGGCGTCTTCTGTTCTATCGGCTTCGTTGACCATAGCGATGTAGGAGTGATGAGCAAGTGTGATCATTTGTCTAAATATCAATAAATCAATCTTTGAATGTCATGCTTACTTCCTGTCAACGTTTTGTCACAATGTGAGTCAGCGGTGCAGTCTACGCTGGTTGTGTGGGCGGAGACGGTTAGAGTAAACATCTCTGATTGGTGTGCTCCTTCTTTCGAGGCTAGAAAGAGAGAGCGGCATCACTGAGAAAAGGAAAGCGAGGGTAAATAATCGTCGCGGGTTCAGATGCGACATCTTTCCAATTACATATTTTTTATTCATACTGAATCCCGGCGCAGCTCGGCGACGGAGAGGGTATGTGGGCACATTGCACTTTTGCTATTTCCCATCGATGTATCGAGTGAAGACCTGTGGAATTTTGCTAAGGAAATGATCAAGGAATACCTATGAATATTGTGAAGCAATGAAATACCATTCAAATACCAGTCACCATGGTTGCTCGACGAGCTTGCTCAGCCTCACAGCAGTGAAAGAGTGAAAGTGAAAAACGCTACCCCTCCCCGTCACCGAACTGTGCCGAAGTTCCTAATTAACAACATATTTGGTCAAAAAATTATATTGTATTGAAGGTTCGGGAACGCCTTTTCACGGCCACTGGATTCAGACATGGAGTTTCATCAGCTCGGTGCTTATTATTTCAATAATTACAAGCACATTGCAGGATACTTAATATACTCCACCTGAAACAGCATTCCACGCTATTGGTTAAGCCTTATGAGTTGGAGGACCGCTAATGCTCGAATATTAGGTACGTCTCACGGGATTCAATATCGAATTCTATACCCTTTTCAATACATAAAAACGACAGAACTCATTTTCAGTTAAACCCTGATGCGTTAATCTTCACTGTATTTTCGTCGGAGACGGATTTGATGAGTTCTCGACCTTCACACTTTCCATATTTTCACACGGTTCACAAATTGCCAGAGAAAAGGTGAGTAGGATTTCTAGCGAGCAAAAACATTGGTGCTTAAATATTTGGTAATGTCATCATCTCTTTCACCACTCTCCAGATCAGTTGCCAGCTGCGTTCAGACTTCGCAATTACGCGCGTCAATGCGCTGTGAGCGTCTCGACGTTCTACGGCTACAACAGGAGACGCGGACGCAGCCGCCGACGGTCGAATCGATTGGCCCAGGTCGCTTGTATTCGGAGAGAGTATGGAAGAATAAGAAGGTACGTGCTGCCCACTCACACGATTCGGGATCGACTGGCTGCTAGTGTTTTGAGAGAGTATAGAAGAATAGGAGGGTACCAGATTGTGTGAAGGCAGTGTCCATTTTTCCTGTCTATACTCTTTCAAAGTACAAGCTGCTGGCGTCGATCAGTTCCCCTCTGCGTCTATAGCTTAAAGCGCCCTTATAGTCGGCGCGCGTCTTCGCGAAACTTGGTACTGCCTAAGAAGTATGCTGGGTCACATCTCGCAGGCTCTCTCTCGGCATAGCGCGCAGGCTAGCAGAGTTTTACTAGCTAGTTGATTTTAGGCAGCGCAACTGTGCCACGTTATCCGATTGGGTCCTGGTGCGAATTTTCCCACATGCAACTCCTCTTTTGCCGCGCTCGGCCGCGACCCGCATCAAGCGATATGCACCTAAATATGCTGCAAGAGATGCAGGGGCGGAGTAGCTGAGCACTGAATACGGTAGGCTGTACAGCTCAGTTCGATTATGGCAATTGCTCTACGCTCCAGGAATTTTGATGGATCGGAGCGCAATGGGTTTTGCAAAGTATTCCCTGGTTGGTTGACTCGAAGGAGCATAACTGTGCCACGTTATTCGATTGGGTTCTGGTGTGAATTACTCCGCTTGCAGCTCCTCTTTTTGCCGCGCTCGGCCGCGGCTCGGTGCACATCAACAATGTGCACCTAAATGATGCTGGGAGGGCTGCAGAAATGGAGTAGTCGAAGCACTGAATACGGTAGCTGTACAGCGTTAGTTTAGTTGTATAGGTTATGGTAAATGTTGTAACACTCCAGGGATTGGAATGTTTTGAGTCTGCGTTCCGACAAAATTTAGGTACATGAGTTGCGCTGCAGAATGCAGATCAGATGCAAGCCTGTAGAATTTCACTATTACTAGATGATCAGAGAAAAATCCCGTAAATCTCAACAGCCTGAAACACAAAGGAATTGTTTTACTTGGGGCAGTTTTTCATCATGTGTTTGTTCATTTCATCCCAGATTAACGTTGCAAAGGCGATGCAGGTTTGTATTGAGGTTAAGAACGCAGCCTAGTGTAGGTATAATGCCCTTCGTGAGCAACCTTTTTGACACCTCTCACCATGTGCACCAAAAATCGCCCTTCAAAACTAGGGCTAAGTAAAAGGATAAGAAACAACGGGATTGAGTGTTTACTTGCGGAACTTGTTTCACGCACCGATTTGTCGTAGCAACAAGCGAGACAGTATTTCTGGTAGGAAGGTCTTTACTGGGAAGGCCTTGAGGGGGGGGGGGAGGGACATGTTTACTAGTACATTAGCATTTCAATTCATTCATATTAACTGATATGATCTCACGAGGGAGTGAGAGGTATCACTTCAGTGAGGCCAGAAAAGTCTTGTGGACGAGCGAAACAGTAGGAATGAGCCGCTTTGATTACAGGAATTCACGAAGTTGAAAGTTTCACAAGGGCGCCTGTACAGGCGTTTCGCTGCAGTACTCGTTGGCGCATCCCCACGAAGCCGAACTGCGTCTTGCAAGGTTGTCCTTCACACTCTTTATGTGATGACCTCCAGATCGCTAAGAGCCGTGCACGTGCGGAAAGTGCCTCTGATTGGTTCATATGGGTAATCCACCAATCAAAGGCATCACCCCTATATTGCGCTCCCAATATAAATATGGCTACACAAATAGTGGTTGTTAAAGCTGGCCATCTGGTAGTTCCCTTTTTTTAACTAAGAGAACTCACATTTCAATATGTCCCTGCTTGTCGGCTGCTTCTACTATCTGTACACATCGTGAGAAGATTTCCCTGTTAAAGGCATGAGCAGCGCTTTGATAGGAGATGTCGGTAGAGCAGGTCGTTGGCACTTCGGCTGGAAAACTTTGGATATATTATAGTATAATAATAGTGACTTCGGGCGCAGTTTGGCGACGGACAGGGGTGGGGGGGGGGACATTTTGCATTTTCACTTATTCACTAGTTTACAAGTCTCACTCTGGTGAAACCGTGTGTAACTCTGTGTGAATCTTGGAATAAGCGTTGTCTAGCCACCATGATCGGACTGTCGAGCTCGCATATGCTACGAAATGGCTCTCTAAGCTGGTCCAGGGCGTCGATGGGTAAATAGCAAAAGTAGCAAATGCCCCCCCCGATCGCCAAACTCTCAATGATTTCTAATTCGCATTCTTGTTTTTATATGCGTACATATTTCACTTGCCGCCGAACTCAAGGTGCTAGCCGGTGGCGTCAAGTCAAGTAGGCGAGGTGACGTAGATGGACGTGGTGAGCATTCCAACGAACGACGGTGATTTAACGGGCGATAACACTGTGCACGAACCATGTTGAGTTTCTGAAAAATCATCCGCGATTTGTGAAGTAGTAGGTTGGCCAATTGAAACATGGGATTTATAAAATTCAAAATTTCAAAAAAAAAAAATTTTTTTCAGAGCTCAATTTCAAAAATTTGTGAAATATTGTATGTTTTCACTTCATCTCAATAAAGAGTTCTGAAACTCTATGTAGCAATCTGTTTTAGTTTGGCGCACGAAGTAAATAATGACGCTTAAAAGTGCAATACATTTAAGACAATGCAAAAAAGATGATTACTCAAGGAAAAAAAGACATTTTATAATGCTCCCTTGACCTGCTAAATTTCTTTGGGGCCCACTATCCTTACCTACACCCACCTTCTTCCAAAGAAAAAAGAATCCTAAAACTTGCCTCGTGTTCAGGGGCTTCCATTGTTATAGCACTGTAACGCATGATATAACCCAGTAACTAAGCCATAAAGCTTTTGTAACTGTCAGAATAGGTGTGATTGAAAGAATTATAGAGCGTCAACGATTACGAATATTTCCGTTTCAAAGGTCGATTTTTGAAAGGGATATTGATTTGGTAGGGGCGGAGCTTTGAAGCTTATATCTGCTTCAATTATTGACATAATCTGTGCAAATCGGGACTCACACGAACGATGTCATCGGCAACGTCGTTCCAATCGCTGTTCACGATGAGACTTGTCTCATCGATCAATATTAATCGATGAAGAATGTTTTCGATTTCCGATATACGGTTCATTCCTGAAATGATTGTGTTGATAGAGCTCTATGAATAGGGAAGTGGATTAGGGCGACGGAGAACAACGAATCAATCGGTGATTGGTAAGGCTACTGAGAACTGTTTCTGAGAATGGGGCTTTTACAACATGAAGTTTCGCAGTACTTCAATTAGGCAATGAGAGAGTGGAAAGCATCACCTGTGGGAATGTTTCCATGAAATTACAACGATCACGCTTATGGAAAGCTCGCTCAGGTGAAATCCCAAAGATTGCGCCAGGCGCAGTTCGGCGACGGGGGGGGCATTTTGTACTATCATTGCTTCCTTCGTACCGATTCACAAGTCTCAGTCTGGCGAAACTGTGAACTCTTGTGAGGCTGGAGTAACCCTAAGCCATCATATTGAACCTGTCAACTCGATAAGAGGCTGCCTAGATAGGATGGGAAGTAGCAAAAGTGCAAATATACCCTCCCCCCCCCCCTTCGCAGAAGTGCGCCTTTGCGCCATGTATTCGATTCGCATTAAAACATAATGAACTCGTGATGAAAACAGTTCATGATGATTGTATGACGGAGGAAATCATCCTCTGGAGTCCTGTATTTGGTGCGGTCCTCATTCTATCGCACTGTTGTGAACATAGGGATGCCTCAGGAGGGAGCATGTTCTTACTGTCCTCCGCCCATTTGAGGTCTGAAGTGGAAGTGTGTTCACGGCAATCACGTGAGAATCTGACCAGACTTGGAACCCGGCTCCGGGTTAAATGAGGCGGTGGGTTTGGAGCAAAAAAAAGGT